TCCGATCTAGGTCAAACAACCCCAATGGGGGTGCATTTGCGTCTGATGTCAACAAAAACATCGATCCCAAATTTTGAACCGTAGAAAAGGATGAAGCACATACTCGAATCACACTCTTCACTAAAGATTAAATGATTTTGTAGTTTCATTTGTTGATTTTCTATTGTATCTTCATCGTCAGAGATTTGTAATCTTCGCCATAACCTTGTCAATTTTCCACCTTCAACCCATGTTCAATTTGCAAGTGAACCACTATCTCTCTTGATTTTGATCTGCTTTGGCTTGACCTAATTTGGGATAAAGATTGAAATAAAGAAACAGAGAGACGACAAGAATAATAACAATAATCATTTCTCAATTTCTCTATGAAGCTCGAAGCTGCTAGTTTAGGGTTTCAGATGACATCTCTATGAGGCTTTCTCTTTTAATGTAATATGGGCCAAAGAAAAAACCAAATCAAAGGAAAAAAAAGACGCTAGAATATAAAAAGGAAACATTTTTCATTTGGTATGACATTGGTATGTGGTGTTGTAGGAATAGGCTTAGTTGGTATGACATTTGGGATCATGGTTCGTTTTAGTAGTCTTATTGGGGTCGCTCTCACTATTAAAAGTTTTTTTTACATTATTATACAAGTATACACAATTATTAAGAAAAAATAAACCACGACAACAAATTGTATATTTAAAATCACAATTTAAATTATAATTGTCGGCCAGTAGATATCTAGTCTGCTTTAAAGTATTTAGGCCGGACACTTTTGGCCTTTAGTTTCTGTTTTGTTTGACTATGTTACATACCAATGTAACACCANTATTAATATACCAAAAAATATATACTAATATACCAAAAATTTGGAATGAAGTAAAGTTCATGCATGCAGTATTTCGTGATAATGTGACAATAATTACAAAGGAATATCTAAAAGGAAAAATAATACTTTCATAGTCTCAATTATGTCCCTACCTCTATATAATTCCCTCCACTCTCGGTTTTGTTTACATTTGCACCTATAACTAGGTTATTATTTTCACATTCTCCTAATAATTGACACTTAAAATGTTTATTTTATTACAAATGTGAATATTTTCCATTCAAAGCTTGAGAATCTTGAGTAAACACCGTGCAAATAATATTATAGTTAAGGGTTTCAAAATATAAATTTTTGTATATTAAATCACCATGAAATTACTTAATTGTAAAGTAAGAAAATTATACTTTAATCCCATAAACTATGTTCCCTATCAGATATTTCCTTCTCAACTATCATATTTTTTATATTTCACCTTCAACAATGGTTACTAATTTCACGTGTTACAATGACAAACATCTGTTCCTGATTGGATAAAAAATTATATCATTATATTTTAGTTTAATGGCAAAAAAATACAGCTACTAAGGAGTTGCTTCTAGATTCAAATCAATCAACGACACTTAATAGTTATAAAAAAACATTATATAGCAACTATGTTGTTCGTTATCTTGTGGGGTATTTCGGTTCAATTATTCACAAGGAGGGGGAGACCGAAGAAGATATCACTTTTATATTGAAATTAAGGGGACATACAACTAGTGTATTGTGTGATTGATGTACCTTTCTTAAGGTGAAATGTAAATTGTAAAAGACAACCTTTAAACAAAATTTGTTTTATGTTATAGAACGTTTTTTTTTTTTTTTTTGAAAAGCAAAATATATTCATCTTTGCAAAATTACATATGCATGTAAAGAACCTATCTGTTTATCAAACAGACCAAAAAACAAAAGAAGGGGCCAAACACCTGAATTGCTATAAGTTCTGCCTTGTGACAGAATTTATGGCAGTTCAGAGCAATCATAATGACCACTAGGATCAGGGAGCCATTTAATTCTATCAGCATGCAGAGAGTTGGGTGGAGCCATTTAATTCTATCAGCATGCAAAGAGTTGGGATTATAGGACGGCATAGAACTAAGAATTTGCAGTAGCTCAAGGGTACCTGAAGAAGACCATGCCCAACAAGTACCATTAACAATGGTTTCTACCTTTGCGGTAGATGGCAGATTTGCGAGTTCAATGATTCTCTCCGACCATTTAAGAAGAAGAGGCCCATGCGGGTGCCAATTATCATGCCACAAGTGTGTTGATTTACCATCTCCAATAGTATGAAGAGTCAATGGCCTAGCAGTGTGCCTGAGTTTCAAGAGTTTCCTCCAATTCCATGAAAAAATCTGAGGTGGTCTAACTTCCCAAAAAGATTTCATCTTGAGATAGTTCACTTTGATCCAGTTAGCCTAAAGATTTTCCTTGTGATAGATAATGTACCAGATGTACCTCAACATTAGAGCTTTGTTCCAGCTATGAAGATCTTTAAGCCCAAGACCACCTTCTTCTTTTGATTTAATGACAGTCTCCCAAGCCACCTTAGAGGCTCCTTGCTTTTGCTCGTTGCCAGACCATAGGAAAGATCTTAGTAATTGCTCAACTCTTTTCAAAACACTCTTGGGAAGGATCAAATGGCTTAACCAGTAGCTGTGCATATTGCACAGAACAGATTTCACAAGTTTAAGCCTACCTACATAAGAGAGAAATCTGTTAGTCCAACTTTTTATTCTAGCTTTAGTTTTGTCCACTAGAATTGCACAATCTCTTGGCCTCAACTTGGTTGAAATGAGTGGGATACCCAAGTACTTGACAGGAAGCTGCCCCAATTGAAATCCAAGGCAAGAGATAATTTGGTCCCTTTGTGTCTCAGGGATCCCAGAAATAAAGATTTGGCTCTGAACTGCATTTGCACTCAAACCAGATAGGGATTGGAACTTATCTAGAGCTTTTTTAGGCACAACAACTGAGGGAAAAGAGCCATGACAGAAGAGGAAAAGGTAATCTGCAAAGCACAAATGAACCAACTTTTGTCCCTTACATCTCCAGTGGTACTTGAAAGAATCTGAAGCAGCAATTTCAGCTTTAAGAATGTGAGTAAAAGCTTCGATGATAAGGACGAAAAGATAGGGGGAAAGAGGATCGCCATGTCTAATACCCCTCTTGCTAGGAAAAAAACCAACTTACTCCCCATTAAGGTTGATACTAAATCTTGGTGTTGTGATGCAAGCTTGGATCCAAGAAATCATATTAGATGGAACGTTTAATCTCCTGAGAGTAAAGATCACAAAATCCCAGTCAACCATGTCAAAAGCCTTCATTAGATCAACCTTTATTGCACATCTGGGTGATCCCATATCCTTGTGATAATTCCTCATAAGTTCTTGTGCAAGGAGAATGTTATTCCCTATCCTTCTTCCAGGAACAAAAGCTAATTGATTATGGGAAACAATATCAGAGAGCACCTCCTTAATTCTAGAAGCTTTAACCTCGGAGATGATTTTATAAAGAGTGTTGCAACATGAAATTGGTCTAAAGTCTCAATCTTAGAAGGGTTAGGGACTTTAGGAACTAACGAAATGATGGTATTATTGAAGTCTTTCAACAATTGACCTCTAGTGAAGAATTCCAAGATTGCTGCACAAATATCTTCACCAATAGTAGGCCAAACAGCTCTATAAAAATGTCCATTAAACCCATCAGGACCTAGGGCTTTGTTTGGGTGAATAGAGAAAGCTGCCCTCTTGATCTCATCCTCTGTGACAGGAATAGAAAGATGCAAAACTTGGTCATCTGAAAGTTGTCTCCATGGAAGGTTATGAAGCTCCCTATACCTGTATTGTGCACATGAAGAACTATTGCCAAGAATGGATTGGTAATGGTGGATAACAATTTGTCGGATCTCCTCGGGCTCATTGGATGTAGTCCCATCAACTCTAGTGATAAATAGAGTTTTATCTCTATTTCTTCTAGAATTGATAGTTTTGAAGAAAAAAGTTGAATTCTGATCTCCATCTTTAAGCCACTGAACTCTTGATTTTTGCCTTAGAAAGGATTCCTCATTTTTTGCTACAATAATATAATCCTGAAGGAGTTGTCTCCCAAGAAATCTCAAGGCTGCATCCATAGGAAAAGAGCCTAAAAGCCTTTGACATTTGTCAGGCTCCATCTTAGAGGCTTGGACCCTTATGGTAACATTCTCACTTTGGGGTTTGGTTAGATCCTTGAAAGCCTGTTTAAGCATTTTCAGCTTGGTGAAGACTTGGAATTGAAGTTCCCACAACTGGTTTGGTCCATATGTTAGAGACAATTTGCTGGAAGTCATCTCTGTGAGTGTGGAGGTTATAAAATTTGAATGGGCATTTCCTAATTTTCCTTAACACACCCATTTTGAGAATGTCTGGACCATGATCTAATAGACCCGGTGGGAGAAATTCAGCCATAGCTTCTGGGAAGAGTTGATTCCAAACATCATTAGTCAAGATTCTGTCAAGTTTCCTTACCACACACTGCCCAGGATTCCTATTATTTGACCAAGTGTAAAGATGACCAGTGAATCTAAGGTCACTTAGATCTGCACCTTGAATACAATTGTCAAAATCATACATAGACTGATTCCAGTTCTCAGTACCCCCCAAGGTCTCCTGAAGGTTTCTGATTGCATTAAATTCACCCAATAAAGCCCATGGCTTATTCACAAATGTTTGGGCTTGATAAGTAATGTTCCTCCATAGAGACCTTCTATCTCTCTCATTATTAAATGCATGAATAAAAGATATAACAAAAGTGGTGTTACTGTCAATGTGTGTGACAAAACAATGGATAATTTGCCCAGTTTCCTCCAATTTCTGGACTCTAAGGACCAATGGGTTCCATCCAACCCATATTCTTCCAAAATGGTGACTATTATAGTTATGCATATATTCCCAATCTCTAAAGGTGAACCTCATGGATTCATCTTTATTAATATACCTGACTTTAGTTTCAACAATGGCCACCAAGTCAAGATGATTTTCAAAAATTAGCTTCCTTACCTCTCCTTGTTTAATAGGGTAATTGAGACCCCTAGTGTTCCAACATCTTATATTGATCATTAGGATTGGGGAGATTTTGGGTTAGAAACCCAACTAGCTTAGTGCTACTAGACCTTATCAGAGAATGAAGTCGATACCTGCTCCTCTTGACTTGTGGAAGGGCTGCAGTTATTTGGATGACTGTCTTCTTCCTTATTCAGTTCAGCAAATCTGTTGGGGGATTCAACTGGCATGACTTCAGGGACTTCTTTGCCAACTTCAGGGCAGGAGACTTGTTGTTTGGTTTGCAAGATCTGAGTATCAACTGGGGTAGCTTCAACAGAGTTAGTATCATTAACATGAGTATCACTAGTGGGTATGGACTGGCTACTACTAGATAGCAGATTGCTTGCTGCATGAGGATTTATAGGATTTTGATCAACCACTTGATGGAATGAGACCACTTCTTTCCCTTTCCAATTCCCCTCTTTTGCTGCCTTGTGGCTTTTAATAGTTTGTCAAGTCTCCTTAGGGGTTGCCTGTTGGGGAGGTGCAGCCTGCTGGGAGGGTGCTCTCTGCTGGGAAGATGCTTTGGAACAAGATGTTATAGAGTGTCCAAAGACTTGCAAGCATGGCATACCTTTGGCTTCCAAGGATATTCAACTTTAATTTCCATGATCTTTGAATCACCCAGGCAAAGATCAAAAGAATCAATAAGATCATGGCTTGCATCTGTTTCAATACAAATCCTTGCGTAACTGAGTCTTCTGCATTGCTCCGTTAGTTTATCAACATACAATGGTTTGCCCACTGCACTAGCAACATAGCTTAGGCCTTCATCATTCCAATATTCCAATGGTATATTGTGTAGATGAACCCACACAGGAATCTTAGTTTGAGAGACCTGTGTGAGCTCCATATCTGGCTGCCATTTCTGGAGAATAAGTGGTCTTCTCATAAGAATCCATGGGGCCATGTCAAGCACTCTAGCACATTCCTGCTCAAAAGAAAACTTGAAGAAGAAGAATCCCTTGTTATTTGCCAAAACCTCTGTTAAACCAAGTTTGTCCCAAAGCTTGTGGGCAATACCATTAACAACCGAGGATGAAAGTTTTTTCTCCACAAGGTATCCCACTAGTGTATTTCCCCAATTACAATAGCCTTTGCAAGCAACCTCTCCAGGGGTAGAAACAAGGATNACAATAGCCTTTGCAAGCAACCACTCCAGGGGGAGAAACTAGAATTCTATTTTCATTCAACTTGGGTTTAAAGTACTTTAGTTTCATGGGGGGGTGTTCCTGTTCTATTGGAATGGAATTGGTTCCATTTGGGTTCTGAACCACTTGTGACCAGGAGTTGGGTTTGTTAGGATCCAAAGTGGGTTTGCCCATCCCACTCTTTCTGGGAAAAGCAACTGTCTTATCAGCAGTATTAGACATCCCACTCTTTCTGGGAAAAGCTGATGAGTCTTGTCCTTGACTAGCAGGCCTGTTCTGGTTTTCAATTTTTGAATTTTCACCTTGAACAACGTGTGATGAACTCGATGCTTGACTCACAGTGTTGCTCAATAGCTGTGAACTGCTTTCATGAAGGATATTGTTCTTCTGATCACCAGTAACAATCTCCAGATTCGCAATTGCAGAGGCTTGGTCAGCTACAGATTTGGAAGCCACCATTTCAAAGAACCCATATGAGGGAAGCAGAAGGGAGATGAGCTAAGAAAACAAACAGAGAGAGGTGAGGATGGAGGGGAATCTGGTGGTGACAGTGGTGGGATGGGTGATTGTAGTGGTATAGTTGGTGGAGGTGAAAGTTAAGAGCTTGGTGGTGTGTGGTTAAAAGGCTCTGATTCTTGGGAGCTAAATGCAAGAATAACTGCTGGATATATTGTTCAAGAAGTATTTTGTAGACATTTTGGAGGGTGTCTCACAAACCAAATGTCTATAGCCGTGAAATGATGGAGCTTGAAATGGCTAGAGCAAGAAAGAAAACTAAAGTTGCAGGGGACAATAGAGGGCGAGAAGCAATAGGAAGTAAAAACTCCTCTGGTACAGAATGTTGGGCGACAAAAACTACATATTCCACAACTACTTAGGACTAAAATGTAGATGTTAAAATGGATGGTGGTAACAACATAGATAATAAAATTTAGAATGGATATATTCGTGACATTATAGAAATATCACCAATAAGAGATAAAAATGAGAGAACCAATGTTTGGACATGTCTACAGAAGACTTAATATCACACTATTGAGAATGAGTGTTTTGATACATATCAATGATAATTTTAGAGATAGAAAGGTAAATCAAAATTTACTTGAAATGAAATAATAAAAAAGAACGTGATAGCTTATGATTTAACAATAATTATGAATGTTAGTAGAGTATAATTGAGAAACGAGATCTATTTAGCCAATCTTAAATAATTGAAAAAAAAAAAAAATAGCTACGAGATTAGAGAAAGCATCATTACTTCAATTATGCAAACCTATTGTGGAGTTTAAAAGAGTGACAATCGATGTAATCTTGACAATCAATATGTTATAAAAAGTCGATTAGACATTCTCCAATTTTCGATATAAATTGGGTTATATATCTTTCGCATTGGGGATATTCTTAGCCAAAAAGGCTTAAGGTCTTCTATGGTAAAAGTGCTTCCTTCCCCGCTTCCCTTCCCTCCTACGCATCCATCCTAAACGATGTGTAAATGTCAATCCATTCACCTTTCCGTTTCCAACTTTTCTTCCACCCTTCACGCTTCTAAGCAGATTGCCACAATGCTACACTGACAAAAACTGGAACACAGATAGAGCCCAAAAGTTATTACACCAAAAAAAATGATAAAAAACCAACAGCCACCGCATACTAAACTGTGGGGTTGAAAGTTTGAAACTCTCGTGATGAGTCTCATAAAGAGACTCCAATGACTAATACCATAATCTCAAGTTCGAGTGTGATAAGAGACACCCTAATTAACCTGATGCACACATTGTTTATCGATGACTGCACATATCCTGAATTTATACAACCATGAGGTTAATGGCTGGAATTGGTAATTGGTAATGGGCAAAGGAGGTGGAGAATCATCAAGTAGATGCTGTTTAAACCTGTGGTAAATCACCTGTACATATTATTGAATGCTAAACTGTGTTTTGCAGTAACCTAAACAGAAAGCAACACAAAATGTGAATCTTAGGATTTTTCCAATCAAGTTGAACCATCTACAATCCCAAATGTTGAGAATCTGCAGCTCACAAGCTAAAAAATGGGGATCCTTGAATCTTTCTGAGCAACTCCAGGTAGTGAACCCCACGAAAGAAAGAACTGCACCAATTAGCTAGATCCACTGTCAGTTGGCTTTGATTCAGTGTCAGCTTGCTTAGAAGCCGATGATTTATCGTCTGCAGCTGCAGTTGACTGAATGGGTTTCTTAAACTGCACCAATATCATGGTCATGTTGTCACATCCCTCACCTCCGGCCGTAGATGGTGCTAAACATCGATCAAGTACTCTTTCACATACCATAGAAAGCTTGCTTTCCTGCATTTTTAGAAATTATTGTCAAATATGAAAAGAAGATTTTTACAAAAAAACTGTTATGGCCCCAGATTGGGATCAAAGCCACGCTCGACAAATAATCACATTTGCATTTTGAAGAACCCTGAAAATTGAACTTTTTTTGTATGGCCTCAAATAATTTTCAGTGCACTGGTGAAAGGTGAAAGAAACAATTAGAAATTTAAACAATGACATGCTTAGAGAGAGGATCAATGATCCTAACTGGCTAAAGCATAAAACATATCTTCCCAAAACGTCATGCAGAATTATAATGTTCGACACTGTGGACAGCATATAAGTGTTTACTTTCTTCCTTTTTCCAATAGAAAACCAAAAACGAAACCAACGCCCTAGATAATTACAGAGATCAGCCCCAGCTAAAGCTCTGATATAGTCTGTCAGTCACTCCTTACTAAAGAATATTACTCATAGTGAAGGGATCTAACTACAAACCAACGTCCCAATACAGCAATAGAAATGCCAATTCTTCAAATCTAAAGAAGCATGAACACGGACACGGAATACGGATACGACATGACACGGACACACCAATATGACATTTCTCAAAAAAATAATATACGGACACGTTGGGGACACATTACAACAAAATTATATTTTATATATAACATTATATAATTTATTGCAAATATAGTGATAATGATATTCAATTCATAAAAAATTCAATATTTTATAATAAGTAAACTTAATGTCTAGTCATCTGTGTAAATTTTTAGACTAAATCATCTTCATTATAGTCAATAATCATCAATTTTTTTTTGTAGACAATGTGTACCTAATATATAATTTAAATAATTGCTCTCATTTTCTCAATTCCTCTTTTTTAAACTTTTATGTATCTTTTGTTTTTATTATTATAATTGGAGTATAACTTTAAAATGTCTAGTATTAATAATTATATGTTCTCAAATTTTTAAACTTTATTAATCACATTTCAACATATGACAATTGTTTAGTAGTAGACACATTCTGAACAAGTGTCGGACACGTCACCAAAGAAGTGTCGAACACGTCACCAAAATTAAAAATTTATCATTTAATTATGAACACAAATAAAATAGTATCAGACACGTGGCTGAAAGTGTCCGAAGAGTGTCGGTGTCTGACACGTGTCCATCACCTTCTCGAGTGTTTGTGCTTTCATAGCTTCAAATGCATGAAGAGAGGATAAATAAAAAAGGGAAGTAATGAACCAACCAAGAACAAACAAGTTATTTGATCAATAGCAGCATCGAGATGCTAATACCGTCCTTTCCCAAAAAGAGAACCAAAGTTATAGCACCGAACTAAAAAGCCATCGCCAAGAACAAGAAGGACTACAGCTTTGCACACTTCAGCACTTACGCACTAAAGGCTTAGCCCTAGATATTAGCCTTCGGCTTACTATCTATGTAAAATATCTGACTTTTGACTACTATAATGAAAGAAGATTCAACAACTTCTTAAAACTTGTGTTGTTAAACAAGCACCTACTCCAAAAACTTGAGCTATTGGAGATGGTGTAACTAAAGTATTGGGTAAATTACATCCACCTTTGTTGAGGTTTGTCCAAATAACAATGAGACCCATTCAGGTATTGATAATAACATTGTGCTCCCCAGTCAGTAACATCTGTCACTTTTTTCGAACCAGAGTTCTAACATGACAAAAAACACCCTCAAGATAAGTTTAAATCTTTTACTGAATGCATTTTTGTTGGTTTGCATCAATGATCAAACCAATCCAAAAATTTTATTACATAATCTGGGTTGTTTTCCTTCCAACAGAGTGTATGCAAAGTGTCTTCCTCACCTTCTCTTCTCTTCCTTCTCTCTCTACGCACACACATACATATCCATACACATACACACTAAGAGAGACACACCCACACCCAAAGCCACTACCACTTCTTCTGTACATATACCAGACCACCAGGACAATCCTTATCACCACCCAATTGAACAAGAAAACCCAATTCAACCAAATGTGAATCCAATTCCAATTCTATATTATACATAGGTTGGAGAAAATTGCAAGACAAATAGTTGAAGCTGATACTTTGCTTATGGAGTTTTCCAGATTGAAGTTATCAAGGACCGAGAGCCAAGAGTCATCGATCTTTTGACTCAATTTTAAAATTGAAGCAAAATAAAAACAAAAATAGATTTCCAAATAGATTTAAGAGGATAGATTTACATGTTAGTTCTTGCCGAATTGGTGGTGATGGTTGAGGGTTTGTGGCAGTGATAAGTGGTAGATATAGAAAAAAATTTCATTCAAGTTTTAGGTCTTCAGTCCATGGATCAACTGAGTAGATATAGAGAAAGAAAGAGAGGAGAAAGACACGATTATAGAGAATAGATGGTAGAGGAAGGTACCCTAGTGGAAGAGAGTGGAGAGAGAGGGGGGCACGAATGGAGAAAAGAAAAAAGGGAGAGGGCATCATATTGAAGATGGTGTAAAATACAAAGTGTTTGTTTGTTTGGCATGCATTTAGGTTGTCAATATTGTGAACAAGACTTGTTTAGCAATAATTTTAGTTAATCTTAAGTCCGAATAAGGGTAATATTGACATTTTCAAAAAATAGGTTGATTAGGTCATAAGTTTCCTGACTCCTAGTTTGACTCCATGTTAATGGCACAATAACGAATGGGGTTATATGTTATAGACTACCATAATAAAAAGGGAGTACAGTGTTATATCAATAATTATGGGGGTTTTGTTGTTATTTGGACAAACTTCAAAGGAGATGGATGTAATTTACCCCTAAAGTATTTATACTTCAATACACCACCTCACATGCCGACTAGATTTTGGGTCTAGATCTAGCATGTAAAAATTTGTTAATAATTAGGATAACAGCTAGATTTGAACACAATAATTCCTTCTTTGGTACCATGCTAGAGCATTCAACCCAAAACTAATGGACTATGAGTGGAATGGCTCCTCAAGTATGTAAATCAATCTTGGTGATCCTAATCGTTCAATGCATGATACAAGTTTTCATAACACCCTCCCTCACATGAGACACGGGTTACATGGAGTCAACAAACAAATAAATAATCATTGGAAAGGTTGTAACTCAAGTATTTATATTTTAACATATGTTTTAACCACAGTAAATCTACAAATTACATTTTAACCAAAATAAATATAGCCACTAATATTTTAACCACCCATTTACATTTTAGCCACAATTAAAAGAAAATGTGTACGCATTTGCCCGTACATTGCAGGGGGTACTATAGTTCATAAATATTGCGTTTGGAAGAGAACTAGGTAGACAGCAAGAGCAAGCACAAATACGCGTTTTGAATGCAGAATCAGCAAATGGTTTCTTAATATATTCCATAAGAAATTAATGCTTTCCCAATTTCCATATCCACTAGCTAGAAAATCTGTTTACTTCTGCTCAGGAATGAAAAGGCAGAAGTGCATATGACTAGATTTCCAAGTTACCTATAAACACTTTCAGAAATATAGTATACTTACGGAATTCAACTGTTCATGTATAAAATCCACCAGTTGCTGGCTTGACATGCAATCCCTGAAAATAATTCACAAAACCACAGTCCACAGTTATCATATTTTCACAATGAGCTGCAACAATTTGACTTCTCTAAAAGTGACACAGAGACAACCAAAATACAAATAAAAAAGGTTTACTAGAAGATCCAAACATAAAAAATTTCTAAAGTTTTCTGTCTGCAAGTTTTCTTTGAAATGAAGAATGCGCAGCAAGCTAGGCAGCAATGACACAATCCCTATCTAGAAACCTCATGAATAATCCTGACCAAACATCGAAGAAGGAAGATTCAAAAAAATATATGACGCAAGAGGCGAACAAATTCTGTGTCTAGCAAGCAGCTCAAACTAGTGTCTATGGCCAACAAAAGGGGAAGTTCAAATGCCATCATTATGCAGATAGTCCAGTCAACTTAAGCTGTTAGGAGTGGTTGGCACGAGCTGGATGACCTCCAAGATAAAATACACTAGTATAGCTATGAGCCAACAGGTTTAGCATAGAATTATTCCCTTTTTTGGCAGGACAACCCATAATAAAACAGAGGTTCTTTAGGCATTCACATCAAAGAACACCCAAGAATATGAATCAACACATTAGACATTGATCAACTCAAAATAACTAAAGTTCACCCCTCAAACCAAAGCCTAGTGGCCATGTATGTTTTGGAGTTCTATTTAGCACCCCAAGATCAGTCGAATATTACCAGAATAAATTTAATACATCCACAATCAAAACCCCATGCATGGCAGCCTCTATAAAGCCCAATTAGAACTTACCAAGATCTCGTGAGAAACTCATAAAACATATTCTAAGCTAAGATCTCTGGTACTAACTTTATCGAAGCATGTTACAATTCTAAAATTTCAAAACACGTAAGCTAAGTGTCAAGTTCCCTTCTGACTCTCAACTCAAAACAAAGTCAACTTTTCAAGTTTACTTCGTCCTTAAGTTTTGCTAAATTTCTCTACTAAGCTATAGTAAATTATATTAAACAAAGAAAAGAAAAGCATAAGATCCATACCAGATGCCATCACATGCCAGCACAATAAAATCATCATCATCACAGAGCTCGACCTAATTAAAACGTATAAACTTCAAAACCAATTTTCAAATAATATATATGTCTAAGTCAAAGCAAGAAAAGCAATGTTCAAAGTTCACATTTCAAAGTTTCTATTTAAACAGAAAGATCTTGATCATGCACAAGAAACGTTGATTACCACTACTCTCCTAGGGGCATTAAAGAGAGAGGTGGTGTTACACACACACATGCGTGCATGGAGAGAGAGAGAGAGAGAGAGAATGAAACAATCCTTCACAGGTCATTTGGGGAAAACTGAGTACTGAAAAACCTATAGTTTCCCTTTTTATCCTTGAATAATGTAATTAATCCATTTTAATCCCCAAATGTGAATGAATAAAGATAAACCTCCTACACCTGAAAGTGCCATTGATTACATGTAAGCTCAAGAGTTGTTATTAGTCACATTCTTACCACTTTCCCCACTATGTCAAGTACAAAAGTTAGAGAGGCAAATGAACATAACTCTTAATTAACCCAATAGTTATTGTAAATAATTCTAATTTTAGTGGGCCTCTATAATAATTAATGTAACTTATTTTTCTTTACTTATGTAGTGTGTCTCTACTACAGATTGTAAACTGTGAAAGGGAAACGTGACTTTATACTACTCTAAAAAGTCACTATAATTGAAAAACTTTTAATTTTTCTTTTTATCCTTGAATAATGTAATTAATCCATTTTAATCCCCAAATGTGAATGAAAAAAGATAAACCTGATACACCTGAAAGTGTCATTGATTACATGTAAGCTCAAGACTTTGTTATTAATCACATTCTTACCACTTTCTCCATTATTTGCAAGTTCAAAAGTCAGAGAGGCAAAGGAGCATAACTCTTAATTAACCCTATAATAATTGTAAATAATTCTAATTTTAGTGAGTCTCTGTAATAATTAGTGTAACTTATTTTTGTTTAACTTATGTAGTGTGTCTCTACCACAGATTGTGAAAAAAAAATTGAAAAAACTATGAAAGGAAATGTGACTTTACTAATACTGGAAGTTGAATCACTATGACTATCAAGTTTAGTGGATGATCCATACTAATCAACCTCTTTATTGACTCCACTGTTAAAAACCTCAATTCTCTCTTTTAAACCCTCACCAAGATCCTCACTTACGGGCAAACACTCATCTTCAAAGGTGTTCTATGACTCACACCTGAAAGTGTCATTGATTACATGTAAGGTTAAGAGTTTGTTATTAATCACATTCTTAGCACTTTCTCCACTACGTCAAGTACAAAAGTTAGAGAGGCAAAGGAGCATAACTCCAAATTAACCTAGTAGTTATTATAAATAATTCTGATTTTGGTGTGTCTCAATAATAATTAATGTAACTTATTTTCCCTTAACTAATGTAGTGTGTCTCTTCCACAAATTGTAAAAAAAAAAAACTGAAAAAAATGGTGAAAGGGAAATGTGACTTTACCAATACTGGGAGTTGAATTACCATGACTATCAAGTTTAGTGAATGATCCATACTAATCAACCTCTTTCTCGACTCCTCTATCAAAGACCTCAATTCTCTCTTTTAACCCCTCACCAACATCCTCACTTACAAGCAAACACTTATTTTCAAAGGTGTTATGTAACTCATTTCGTATGAATGTATATGGATACAATATCTAACATGAAATTGTTAATTCTTGATGTTTTTGTTGTTTTAAGGGTTATTTTTGGTTGATTACATGAGATAGAGGTCATCAAGACTCAAATGTCACAATGGATCCGAGATCATGTTGATGGCTTCTTAGGGATTTACGCATAGGTATTCTTTATGGAAGGGTGATTCTAAATTCAACTTTGTTTGTAGTACTTGTATCAATATTGGTATGATGTAAGACATGAAATCTAAAGTTTTTTATCATAACATAGTGTCAATTTGGGAAAAAAAATGAAAATTTATAATTATATCTAACAAAGATTAAGTTCAAAATAAGTTTGCAAAATTTGAAGTAGTCTTGGTTGAAGACAACAAAGTTTTGTGATGATGGTAGTTTTTGAAAGGAAAGTGTAGTTTTACCCTTTTAAGTCTTGAATGGTTTTGGAAGTATAACATTGGAAAATAGTGGAATAGCTTTTGTCATTCGGTTTTGAATTCAAATGAATTGAAAAATTGTTTTGAAGCAATTTGTATCCTTTGTTATACGCCTAGTCAAAAGATTGAAGGTGATTGAAGTTATGAATGTCTACCTATGATTGAAGTTGTTGTCATTAGATTGATAGCAAGGATCAAAATATCGTTTTGAAACGGTCGAAACGTCCGAAACGTTTCTGTTTCTAAGAAGACCGAAGCGAAATAGTGATGAAATCGAAATTCTGATATTTCGAAGTATTCCATAATATTTTTAAATGTATTATAATATTTCAATGCATTTGCACAATTGTTTTAGAATGTTTCAAGATATTTCAAGATGTTTCAAGATATTTCAAGATACTTTGATATATTTCCATCAATGTTTTAAAAAAAATAATTCCTAAATGTTTTATTTTTTTCATTGTGTTTTCGAAACAGGTCGAAACGTTTCCGAAACACGTCGAAACATTTTCATTTCATAGGTGACCGAAACAATACACCGAAACGATATTTTGATCCTTGATTGATAGTAGATTTTATTCATTGTGCTGAGAATCATTATCAATCTAATGAGTACAATGAATTAGATAATTAAATTAGATCCCAATAGTATTGTCCATTAAGCAACGTTATAACAAATTTCTTAGTGATTAATGATTTTGTGATAGAGAGCATTGATGCTGGGAACATTGGAGAGTATATATGATTTGACACTTAAAATAGTCCACGTGCAAGGCACGTGTGCACCAACTAGTATATTGAAAATCCAACAGTCTGTACGTGCCAGTCAAGTAGAGTTGACAGTGATGCCAGAACTTAAAAGGTTCATCAGTATTGAATGCAGGGCTCACTAAACCTTCATTTGCAACTAAGAACCAGAAGAGAAGAGACAGAAATGAAGTTCAGGGATTTTAGTAGCAGCCAAAATACATAATTTCTGCAACTTTCAAAAAAGACAATAAAAAAATTTCCCCCTTATGCGGCTTAAAATATTCAATCCAAGAAAACCCATAATGATGTTGCTTGAGAACTGATTATAAAGCCAATTGATTTTTAACTGAAACACAGAACAACATAAGCAGATTAAAGGCTCATCAAACTGTTTAGTAAACCAATCTGTAAAATCCCATTTCATGGCAACAAATTGCATTAGAAATCCAAAAATGTATATCAATTGCTTGTACTACTGTTGCATTTTGTCGAAGAAACTTCAATAAGAACACTACAACATCCAGATGTTATGAGAATCACAGATAGAGAACTTAATTAAGTCTCTAATACTCTGAAATCAATTGTCCTATTCACAAGTTTGATCAATTTTCAATTCAAAAATGTTTTGGACAGAGTTCCCATTGGTGCACAAACAAAACACCATCTTTTCCTATCCCCCTCCCTCTTCCCTCTCAACTTAGTGCTTAAGCATATAATTTAGTTAGTGTTTTACTTGAATCTCAACAATTACCAATAAAAAGAGTCATTGAGTTGGTTGTGGGTTATTGTTTTTCTTCTACTATGAACAAATGTGTTAATTAGCATCAATCTACCAATACAAACCAATTGTGTGATATTGAAATAATCACAAGAATAAGAAGACATACCGTATTTATATCTGGACTGGCAGTGACAATTTGCTTTTCAGCAGGTAAAAACTTATTCTGCTTGAACTCCATGTCACCTACAGTGGAAAACAAGTTCTGCATTCAACATTCAGAAACTGTCTCTCACAAGCACATGCAGTCCGTGCAAATATCTATGCACATGTCAACACATCTTTCATGCCAATTTTAAAATGTGCTCCACCTGCATAGTTCCTAATGGCATCCAACCCCCTCTCTTCCACGGATCAAATCTTGAGTACCATTTTCAGGGTACCGGTCAAAGCATTTGTCAAGTATGGGCTATAGGCTTCATTGTAGGACTAAGCAATGGGAAAACGAGAACTGACAAGTAATCAGAAGTACAGAAGTAAGCAGGTATAATACCTATAGCTCTTGCAAGATTTAGACTGCCATTGACCCGTCCTGCATGAATAAATCCACCAGCTTTTAAAATCCTCTCTCTCTCAAGCTCAAGGTCAGGTTTGTGGTCTCTAGAGAGATTGTATGCCTGCATAAAAAGAGATAGAATGAGGACCATTTCTATGTCATCTTGGACTTAAAATATATTGAAATTGATTCCACGACAAATAAGCCTTTGTCTGTTTGTGTTCAACCTCTTTTTGAATACCATGGCTTAACTAGCCCAGACTTTGGTCATATATTTTGTATTTCCATGGTGCATGAGTCAAATGATCAGCTACATATGACATTTATTTTAAAGATATATTTTCCCTTCAAAACATATGTAGTAAAAACATGAGAAAACCCTCTCATACTAACATTACCTGACCCTTCCTAGAAATTACGCAACGAGAATCACCAGCATTTGCAACTACAAGTTGGTTATCTCTGATAATGGCTACACAAGCTGTACTCCCAGAAGTTGGTCCAGCAAAATCAGAATGAGGCCCCTGATTGCAGTGCCAAGGGTAAATAAGTCATAACCCAACCAACATAATAGAATTGAAAAAGTAAATAAGTCAAAATAAAAAAGTATATGGTACCAAGAAACATTGCAAAGGGGAAAGATAAAACTCATTCTTTCCCAAAAAATGTGGAAACTCATACAAACATGTTTAAAAAATGTTCAAATTGCATGTAGAAGAAAATGTGAAGCAACAGAAAACAGTAACAATGCTTACTTAAGAAGACATTCTATGCAGTCGAATGACTACATGACGTTACAACATGGCATCATGAGTCCATGACATAAAACTTATGAAGCAAAGCATTTAAAAGTCTACCTGATGCCTCTCTCTATCTCTCTCCATCCTTTATGCGACATGTACAATGTGAGACGTCAGATTCGTGAGGATGAGTTGAAAGAACAAGAAAGAGGCACATTCACCAGATCATGCTTTATCTTTAACTCTTTGTGGCTAGCATGCAAGCATTAGAATACAAGCACACTTTTTTGTTTTAATCTTTTTGGGCTTTTTTCCCGAGGGGTGGATGAGGGGTAAGGGTAGGGATGAGAGAGAGAGATGCACTTATCAAAGCATATGCCTGAAATTGTCACACAAGTGTATGAAAATGATTAACCAATATTCATACATTTGTACGACAAATTTTAGGCACTGCCTGAAACATTGGCCTATTCCTGTCCAAGCTGCATAGCAAATCAGTAATTTCTATCAGATGTTATGGAACTGTGTTAATGTAAAAAAGAAACTTTTCTAAATCACAGTAATTTTCCTTAACTAGTTCTCCTTCCAAGTTCATCAAATGTAAGATGGAAATCAAACTGTAAACCTATTAAACTACAGTCCAATAGGAACGTTTCAAAACCACAAAACTAGTTCCAATCCCAAATCCACCAAATATGAGCAGAAAACTGCAATAACAACCCATAAAACATTATTAGTGATTGGGTTGAAAAAATGTAATCTCTTTGATGTTATTTGTTTCTGCTTCAAAGGTCATATGCTTCAAACTTCAATCAAAACACTCATTCCAGCAATATACAAGTGAAAAATGAAATTAGCAGATAAACATTTAGCCTGTGCAATAATGATATCTGAGCATAGTTATCTGGTACAAGCAAGTACCTCCTCAAAAGCCCAATCATCAACTTGGTCAGCTCCCTCACTAGCTCTTGGAGACCAAATTAAACCCTCTATCATGCCAGTGAATTTATTTATTTTATCTCCCAAAACAGCTAATTCCCTCCACCCTCTTTGTCCACGCATCATCTCATCCATTCTGCATCCAAAAATTATACTAGTTAAAAATTAAAACCATATAAAGCAAAAAAAGAAGGAAACACCTACAATTTCATAGACAGGCATATGGATAGCATAGCTCAAATGCTTTTGTTCCACTCTAAGAATGACAAATTACACTACTACACAAACTTCAAATTTTCACTGATTTATGAACAAGCACCAGATTCAACGAGATTTTAGTCTTTTGGCTTCTTATTGCCATTCACATGTGCAATGCCCAATAGCCATGGTAACTAATGGCAAACACAAAAGATTACGCATGTTCGATGGTGTTGTATGAAGTTAACTCAAAACAAAGTTTGTAAAAGGAAAATGGAGGAACAACTGAGATCATAGAAGCAGTCATGTCCGTAAGAGAGCATGGTCTTATGCCCAATGCTGCTAATTATCCTATAATATAATGTCTTTATGCTTTCTCGCATGCCGATACTTTTTGCACATGGACAAACATCAAAGCATTAAGATGATTATCCTAGATTACTTATACGAGCACATTGCACAAGACCAAGCTTTAAAAAACTGCAAAAGAACCCTGAATTCACAAGCCTGTTGCACGAGGCTATGCATATACTGACAGTAATATTTAATCCGGAGGTCTTCGATTATCCCAAAATCTCAATTTACAAATACAGGCCCAAGTTCGGGAGATCAACCAATAGATTTTCAATCTGTTGACAATACTGAAGTACATCATTGGAATAATTGAGCCTAAGCAACAAAACTAAAAAATAAAAACTAAAAACTAATGCTTAAACAAAACAGCATGCAGGGGCATAAAACAACAAAATGTGCCCGTCAAGTATATCCATATCAAGCAAATAACCTGAAAAAGGCTTTTTGAACTGAAGTTCCTATATCCCCAGCTGAATACGCTTCATGCTTCAGCACTTGTCGATGAAGAAACTTTGAACAAAACTTAGCAACGACCTTACCTGCAGTTTAATAGAGTTACAAGTGTTCTATTAACATAATAATGAAACTAGCTACAAGACTATACACTATAGTTCCCTGCTAAGTAGTGCACTCAGAAGGAGCATCAAGACCGAATGCATACAACTCTGATCTGTGCAATTAGAGGCGATGTATCATATATTCAGGACAAAAGTTGAAATCTATTGAACTGTAGGTTTCTGCTAAACTCTTCCCATAGAAACCGTTGCACTACTCACCAAAGTTAAGCACATTTGAGCAGCCAATCCAAGCGTAAGGCTGCTTTGAAACTTCAACTAGTTAAGCTTACTCCATTAAAAAAATGAGACTATCATTTCATCTATTGGTGAGTTAGAAAACTTGCAAAAGGAACCTTGGGGAATGTTATTTCTTCCAGCCAATTTCTACTACCATTTCTTCTTCCAGCCATCATCAGCCTCTCCTACCAATGTTTTATATAATTATGAGCAAGAGTTATGAACAATCAGCCTTTTGCATAAGTGAGGCTATCCTGCATAAATATTTGCATGCAACATATCTCACAATTCCATGTATCATATTAGGGAAGCCCACCCACTTCCACCCGGACAAAAGCAAAACCTGAGTGCCTAGAACGAAAGGTTGCCTTCCTAAGAAATAAAGCCGCAATAGTGGCTAAACATAGCGATGCTACAGCCTTGCTTGCACCACTATCATCTCAGAATTGTGCTTTTAACCATTCAAACCCGAGCATTGTAGTTTGCAAAATTACCAAGCTTTTTCATTTTATTTTTATTTTGTAAGTTTATGCCTTTTTATGCACACATTACAATTCCAAAAATTTGATTTAAACAAGTATAATAATGTGTAAATGGTTAGAGACACTTAGACATATTACTTACACTCAGTTTGAAAACATAAATCTTCACAGTCAAAGAACATGCATGATATACCAACTGCAGAAGTACATGAACCTTTTAAAACTTACCTCCATGGCCATCATAAACTCCAAAAAAGGAAGTGGAAGCATCCAGATCAGTATGTGCCGCATGCTACAACCAAAAAAAAAGTCTAGGGGATAGCTCATATGAAACACGGAAACAGTGAAAAGCTCCTACCTGGCAAATATTTTATCACACAAAGGCACTGAATATTCAACGAAATGATTATTACAACATTTATCCATGATAAAAATGGCACTCCTAGAGAAGCATATGCCAGGTTGACATAATAATATAAAACTGGTATAAAGCAACATGGTGTTATAATTAAGTTCAACACACATTTTATTTATTTAGGTCTTTTAGGCAACATAACTTCACCACCTTCAACAAAGTTCAAAAAAAATAGGCAAAAATTTATAGTACAAGCAATCACCATTATCAAATAACTTAGTTGTCAACATGTGATTCATTCAATGTTTCTATTGTATTAATAAGCGACATACAGGAAGTAATGTGCTCTTGCAATGGGGTTCTCATATCACTACCAAATTTGTTCTTGCAGAGGATGATCTCATATTGCTCTTGGCTTGGCACTGAAATCCTGGCACAACCATGTAATGTTTCAAGTTCTAATAAGGACAGATCAACCAAGTCATCCCGATACGCCTATCTATCGTATGCACCAAAACTTGTAAGTAATCAAAGCCAACATAGTATTTTGAAAAGAATATTCCTTAAAAGGCAATTAGTTACAATGCCAGTTTTGGCAACAGAGCACAGAATTCACACCACGACACTCTTTATAAATCAACTTCACCTTCAATTATTCCATACAACATAGAAACAGAATGGCAAACAAATAATTGAAATTCCAGGAAACCAATCTATAGGCTAAATAACAATTATGACTGATGGAGATGGGAGATTCATTGGTTACTCACAGCATCTTCCATTGTTGCACGCCACCCTTGCATTGATGATAACCCATATCTAAGTCTGCCATTCTCACCTTCCTCAGAGAACTTTTCAGTTTTGGGAGAACTGAGGTATATACCCATCTCTAGCTGAAATTGCATCCCAGTTACAAATCATATAAACCAAAAAGTTCAAGCCAGAAGAACTAAAAGGATTACACATGTAAAAACTTCTTTGGCTCCCCAAAGAAAGTCATCCACTCAATCACTGTCAGTCTAAACTTAGAAAGTCATCCACTCAATCACTGTCAGTCTAAACTTAAACCCTGGCATTCGGTTTGCTTCCTCAGAAAACGCCCGGAAATATAGTAATCAGACTTTTGAATCTTGCGATTAAATTTTTCCACAAATTAAAAAATCCTTATTAAAAAACAAAATAAAATTGAGCCACGATATCCACTAGGATTATGTTTATAAAAGAATCAGTAAACCTGTATAGCCATTTCTTAGCTGAGATCAAACTACAGTCCTTCATTTACAATCAGTCAAATAGAGATCTAATCATCTGTTTCCCTGATCAAATCAATATCTTTGAGAATAAACCAACACCAAGAAAGCCTATTTAACCCTGATCCCAAGTCCAAGAAAGGATATACTAACCCAGAATCATAAAAAACCCAATTAAAATCCAAAGCCAGCAATTATAAATATCAAAACATGAAAGAAGGCGCAGATGGTTATTTGACAGATGATGATTGTGTAACACTAAATTCATACCTATAAACATGATATTTGAACTGTTCATAGGGGTTGTGGTATACTTACAGGCCCAGTTGGGCGTCTGTTCAACGTTCTGAATCAGAGCCAATTGGACGAAAATACCAAATGGGTCTAAATCTTTACAGGAATTAACAGAAACCAATAAAGATTTTGAAGTTCTTTGCGAGAATAAAACAAGAAAAACAATAAAATGAATGAGACAGAGACACAGAGAAGCAGAAAGAGGAAATGAAGATAGATGCAGAAAAAGGAATAGTCGACAAAACTATAGAGAGAGAGAGAGAGAGACCTTTTGAAGACTACGAATATGTGTAGTAATCTTTAGGGGTGTGTGACTGTCAGACTCTGATGGCTGTTTGATCTTTGTGCATCCTTTGTGAAAGGATATTTCTATGCTTTTTTCTCAGTTAAATTGATCTCTCTATCTTTCTCGAGCAATGTTATCACCGTCGTCGGTAAGGGAATCAGGTTAATAATTTACTAGTTCAATTGTCAGATTAATCGATCGAATCAATTATATAATAAAAAAATATATATAATAATTAAAAAATTTAATAATTTAACTAAAAAATATAAAATATGTATACAATATATATAATTTATCATAAAATTNATTTAATAATTTAACTAAAAAATATAAAATATGTATACAATATATATAATTTATCATAAAATTAATGAAATTAAGTAACAAAGTGAAGGTTATTGTATTTTAAAACAAAAGAAAGAGGTTCAAATAAATTATAAAGAAAAAGAAATTGTGTCATTTATAATTTATTCAAGAATAAAATTAAAAAAAATCAGCTATTTATTGATTTAGGACAAAAAAATTTATTTATGTAATTTAATTTTTAAATAGGCATTAAACCGTTCGATTGTTATAAAATTTACAGTTCACAATTTTTGTTAAAAATCGGTCGATTTTTCGATTTTTAGCAGCTTCACTTCCTTAAACAGTTCAACTAAGGAACCGGACCGGTAAAGATCCCAGTTCACGGTTGAACCGGTCCGATCGACCAGTCCGATCTAGTTCTGATAACACTGCTCTCTAGAGTGAGGATTTGTTTAGGGTTGGCGGGCAGTTGGCGCGATGAGGTGAGATGAGCTTACGATACGTTTGTCTCAATTAATTTTAATCATACACCTATTATTCATTTATAAGTGAATTTCTTATTACCGATGTACCTTTGAATTGAAAAGGATATGTATCTTGATGTGAGAGGATCCATCTCGCTGCAATAATTTATTACAAAATACGATATATTTTATGGTAAATACTTCCAATTTTTTATAATTAGTTGTTGAGACTCAGCTTACTCATCATACCCTTTTTTTTATTAACTATTTTTTTGGGGGAAAGGAGAAGAGGGGGAGAAAGAAAGAGATTTAAATTTTTGACCTCAAGAAAATAAAACTTTCACAAGATAATGAGTACCATTAAGCTAATAACTGTTAATAACTTACTCATCATACCTGAAGAAGAAGATAACTACTTAATCAGTCGGGCAATTCACTTTCTTCTTTTGAATAAAAAAACGGGTGAAAAACTAAATTCAACACCAAGGGTAGGACTCATATGTCTGGCATCTCATTGATCAGCCTAGGTGTTTAAATTTTTGATTGGCCATAATTTTATATACCCTACTCGATCTTATTTTACTTTACTGAACGGTTAGTCGCAAAAAATTAGGTAGAAATGAGAAAGAGTTTTTGATCTTTCGATTAAATCGGATAAAGATGCGAAATATCTATCAATTTTCGTATTCCTATCTTACCCTACCCGTAAAAAATATATTTAATTTTTTTATATATTTTTTAATAATTATAAGAGTAATTGTGTTATATAATTTATATTATAACATTGTTTTGGTTGTGGATGTTTGAGTTGCTAAAATATGAATTTATTTTTTGTGTAGATTACAAGATTTGTGATGAACTAGTGATCTATTAGAGCAGTTATGATTTTAGTGTGTTTCATATGACTTAAACTTAAAATAATTGTTATTGTATTTGTGTAATAATTATGATGGATTGATGTTCATACTTTCTTTTGTTTTATTGTAATTGTTGTTACAGTTGTTTTAGATTTTAGTGTTATTGATTTATTGTGTTGTTAAATTGGTGCATGTTATTTAATTAAATTGATAAAATGATCTAAAAATTAATAGCTATAAAAGTATTTATCCAACTTTCTACCTGATTAATCAGGTNGGTTATTTAATTGAATTGATAAAATGATCTAAAAATTAATAGCTACAAAAGTATTTATCCAACTTTCTACCCGATTAATCAGGTAGAAAGTCGGGTAGAAATACCACATCTGATCGAGTAGGATATGTCAAGAAAAAAAAAATTCGCAAAATATCAAATAGGAAGACGAAAAACTAAATTTCTTATCCATAAAGTAGGGTGAACACCCTTGCATCAGCCTACCAGCTGCAGGCACGAATGGGGGAAAAGAGATAGAATTGACACTACCAACTCATGTTTATTTCAATGAGTGGTATACTTTCGTTCATCTTTTTATATTTTTTTCTTTCTAAGAGTTTCTCGTTTTCGTAGTCTAAAGCATAACATACGATTGTACTAGAGCATAGTATTCTTAGGATGTACTTACAGTACTTTAATATCATTTTGATGCTTAATGTGTAAAATTANAACACTACCGACTCATGTTTATTTCAATGAGTGGTATACTTTCGTTCATCTTTTTTTTTTTTCTTTCTAAGAGTTTCTCGTTTTCGTAGTCTAAAGCATAACATACGATTGTACTAGAGCATAGTATTCTTAGAATGTACTTACAGTACTTCAATATCATTTTGATGCTTAATGTGTAAAATTACTATTTTCTTATATCCTCTATAACATTATGTATATCAAAACGGCAAAAAATATATATATACTATAGATAGGACGTATGCATGCTCGTCTTTTTTCAAATATAACAATAAAAATTAAAATTTAAAGTGAGATGACTATTGTTTTTGTTTGAAACTCATCCATTGTGCAGGAAGCCTTCAGTGTCTGACTGCTCTGTAAATGAGAGAAATTCAGGGAACCATAAAGTATATGGTAGAAAAGAGTTAGAGACAGACATACTATGCGAATTCACTCTAAAATCTCTAATCCAAATACCCATTGATAATCAAATTTTGAATTCGTCAAAAATTCATGTATAAATTATTTGTTATAAATATTAACTTATAAGCCATATCTGCCTAATCATATTCGGAGCAAAATCAAATTCATTAACTAATCTACCTAGAGATAACATTGAAAAAGTTTTTTGTTGGGAACTTCTCTCTTATGGTTATGAGGTGTTAATTGAGTCGAGTTTTGAAAATATAAGTCGGAGCATGTTGAATTTATTTTTCTAAAGAAGTTTAAAAAATTGTTCATACTTGGCTTGTTTAGAACTCAAATTGAGCTTGCACCCGAGCCGAACCCGAACCGATCTCGAATAGCTCGATTATTTTACATATAAACAAGTTGAAACTTTTAACTACCTAAAAATTTGTTCAATCTCTGCTTGTTTAGAATACGAGTCGAATTCGAGCCAAATTTTATCTTAATCCAAGCCGAGCCCAAGTAGCTCATCTCAATTAACACTCATACATATGGTACATGGATAAACCTCATTTTTGTAATGTAATAAAAAAGCCATTCTTTTTTTATTCCTATGAGGTAAGTAACAAAAAGTTGTGGGTTTTTTTTTTTATAAAAAAAAAAAAGAAAGAAAGTAAGGATAAATTAAATCCGTTCTTATAGGGTAACTTCCAATTACCTATAATCATTTGAGATAAATTTGAAAATCACCAACTAGAATGGAGGACGAGAAAAAATCATTGGTAATTGTTAGGGTAATTCTTTATGCACTAAATTTGTGCATCAAAATTTGTATTAAATTAACTGCAATGCTTAAATCAACAATGAGACTCATTGATTTAATGACCAAGTGATTTAGTGCAAATTTTATTGCATAAATTTGCTACACATAAATAGGAGGATGGTAGAGTTTTGTGTCATTGCAAAATACAAGGAGACATGGGGCCAACTTTGGTGGCCAATGATGTATATCATCTCCACCTGGCAACATGTTATGAGTTTTAACACATTTTTTGCATTATGTGTAATGAATGTTGTAGAGTGACACCAAATGAAACAAGACGACCGTGACGACTTCTGTGTTCTTTTTTTGCCTATTGAAAAGAGTTTTGAATTTCCGATTCACTCTCTTTCTTGCACCAGCATTCCTTGCAAATAGACGTAGAGATTTNAGTTTTGAATTTCCGATTCACTCTCTTTCTTGCACCAGCATTCCTTGCAAATAGAGGTAGAGATTTATGTTCCGTTTAGTAGGGAGG